TAAACAAACAAAAAGAGAACTTCTTTTGTTCAAACAACTTTTGGAACAACGTTAGCTAGTGTGGATGGGCCACGTTTGTTTTGTGGTTCGAACCACTATGTAAGTTTTATATAGTATTTTTCTTATAAAAATTCAATTTTAATTTTTTGAACTACAGTGTTTTATCACATAAATTTAATTTTCAACTCAAGTTCTCAATTCAAATCAGCAAAAATGAATAAAGTATGACTCTTTTGCATAGTCTTTTTTTATTTTTATTTTTTTAACTAAGTGGTAGCTCCACTATATTGCCAATACCATACATATCATTGGCGATTTCAAATGATGCTTTGAATATTTTGTATTTTTTTTACCATACTATATAGCATTATGAGCTAATAATCACTAGGTTAAATCACATATAATGGGTGTGGCAGGACTTAAATTTGGGAGGGATAAGTTTAAATTTTAACAATATTCTTGAAAATGTCCCAATTTAAAAAAAAAAATGTCGAACATTATTATAAGGACAGAAAATTAGAAAATGTGCATTTTTAAGAGATCTTTTTTAACTCTCGCCTCTTAATTTGATAGGATTTTAACCTTCAAATCTATTAACTATTAAAAGACTCAAGAAGGATACAGATAAGGTACAAATAACTTCTCTAGGTAGCCCTTACCCAGATGCTTTAAAGCAAAAAAAAAAAAAAAAAAAAAAAAAAATCCAAACGTTCATAAAAGTGGTTTTTGGGGATCTAAAAGCCTTTTTTTTTTTTTTTTTCCCCTACTACCAAAATATATGCAAATTCTTAATCCAATGCAATTTTCTTGAAATGGGTAAACAGAATTCTCGGAAGAAAAAAAAAAAACAAATTATTGCATCCAAGTGGGTGCACTTTGGAGGGCCCCCAAATTGCTGTGTCTGCATCATTCCTGACTTGAGTTTTCCTTTTTGTTTGGTTATTGGGAGAGGGAATGTCATTTTCACATTCACTTTGATGAAGGAACAATATGGGGCTTAGCTTGGCCGTGGGACTAGTTGCTGTTGATCATGTACATTTATATGTGGTTGTAGATTGTAATTGTCATCATCAATCAATAACCAAAAAGAAATTGCCATCAACATTACATGAACATTGTTTTGGATAACCCAAATTATACATACTGATTGTTTTCTCTGAAAGTAGTATTTTAACAAATGAAAAAACTGTGTGCCCTATCTATATTAGCGAAACCTATCGGCACCAACATGAACATGAAACACTGGGCATGAGAGAGTTTGAGGAGATACTAATCTTTTTCTACTTTATTAATTGCTTATAAGTTCGTGCCTAATTTGTCTGTCCAATGTAGGACTAATTGGTATATATATACTTTCATCCTTTAACTATACACAGTGTCTGTGGGTATTTTGGTTGTCTTTTCTTTCCTCCCCAATATGATACGTATATTAAATGTTTTAATACGTAGATTTCTTCTAATGGACTCGGATTAGTTGTCCAATTCTTAGTGTCTCAAATAATGTCTATTCAATCATATTTCGTCGTATCGAACAAGCATGATAATGTCACTTAAATAAGATTTTAAAATTTTTGTAAATGATGTGATACAATATAATTAGTTAGACATCATAATTGGTGTCTCCTTAAAAGAACTAAATTAATGGCATCTCAAATAATGTCTATTCAATCATATTTCGTCATATCATTTAACGAACAAGCAAGCATGATAATGTCACTTAAATAACATTTCAAATTTTCGTAAATGATGTGATACAATATAGTTAGTTAGACATCATAATTGGTGTCTCCTTAAAAGAACTAAATTAATGGCCCTTGGGTCTTAATTTTGGCATAATTCGTCACGTGATTGGGTGAAATTAGTAAGTTGATTAATACGTAATAAGTTTATTTATTTATTTAAATGATGGTTAAGCTTCGTGTTTTGTCAATATATATATAATCACTACAGATAGGTTAAGATTATCGATGTTTTTTAAAGTTTTAGCTGTTGGGTTTCTTTTTTTTTTTTGGCTATTCAGCTGTTGGGTTTCTTTAATAAAGTCGATTGAGGCACAGTAAAAAAGGAGCCAATTATTAAGGCCGGGCCAAAACAGTTTTACTTTATTGTTGATGAGAGAACAAAAAGAAAAAGAACGAGAAAAGGACGAAATAAACCTCAGACAACTGTGAAGCTCCGTTAAGGTTCCAATTATTACATAGGTTAAGGAACCAAAGCTTCAAGGCTCATTCTTTGTTATCTGTGTCTATGGATGGTAATACTAATTATCATGACATTTATGCTAATCACGATCAGTAACAATAAATTAGTTATCTCAAATCAATCGCACTTCCTTTTAAAATTATTTCACAGCCTATTTATATATGTTACATTGACAAAATTTGGTTACTTTTACCGGTGACCTAAAAAATATCCACTTTTATCATATTGATCGTGGATATTTATTTTTAAATTAGGTCTAATTACTTGACTTTTAAAATATATAGTTTTGATCATTCTGTTAATAAAATGTCTATTTTCAAACAGAATGTAAATAGCACGAGGATGTTAGGTTTTGAAAATGATAAAATTGTTTTAAAAAAAAGGAAATTTTCTGGTAGACTTTAGAAAAATAAATTAAAAATAGTTTTATGCTTTCAACCGTTAGATGTAATTAAAATTATATAACATTAAAAAAAATAATTTTTAATATAAATTTAATAATTAAAAATAAAAAACAGTCCTAATTTATTTTTTCTGAACCTGCAAAAAAAAAAAAAAAAAAAAAAAAACTATGTAAAAAAGAGACAATCTCAAAGAAAAAAAAAAAGAGTACTAATAACACATGTCCATAAAGGACGCACAATATTCCCGTGACACTAACACGTGATATATATTCGCGGAAAAAAAATAAAAAAAAATAGAAAAACGAAACAGAGAATGAAAGCTATATGCAAGGCTGCTACAGAAGCAGCTTTGCCAGGGAAAGAAACACGTACTTTGCTTGTGAAAACTTAATGAGAATCTGTTACTTAAAAGAGCAGTTTACTTGTTAATTAGAGTTTTTAATTTGAATTTAATTTGAGTTAAAATATAATTTTATATAAGAATTTTTTATTATAATAAAAAAATTAGATGTGATTATTTTTAAAAATTTTTTACTATAGCAAAAAAATTAGATGTAACTATATCTAAGAGCTTTTTACTGAGTAAAAAAATTAGATTTGACTATTTCTAATAGCTTTTTATTATAATAAAACTCGAATCGGTAAAATAAGCGAGTCATTTGCTTACAAACCGAAAATTCATAATTCCTAGGCAATTTTTTGGTAGGACAGTTCCACTGATAGTATTAGTTTCTGATAGATAAATTAGTTAAAATTACGTCATATTAAAAAAGAATATTTATATTTTTATACCCAGTGTTTTAGATTTATTCAAAATCTATACTTTCTGTTTTTAATCTTATCAAATGTATACCTTTAAGTTAGATTTAATATACAAATCTATGCATTATCTCAATCAATAATTGATTTTGACCTTTAAATTGATTAAACTATTCTTAAGAAAAAAGAAAAGAAAAACACTAAAACTTTATAATGTTATGATAATTAAAAATTAATAACACAAAAAAATCTATTTGAATGGTATTTTACATATTTTAGAGGTTAAACTTATGAGTTTGAAGGTTTTTTTTTTTTTTTTTTTAGGTTTTCTCTTTTTTCTATGTTTTTATTTAAGAGAATTTTGGGTATTCTAAAAGTTAAAATTGAGAATTAACTGTAAAAATGTATAAATTTTAGTATTTAATCTAATTTAAAATATATATTAGATGAGATCAAAAAATAAATGTCTAGTTTTTAAATAAATGCAAAATATAAAGTATAAAAAGGTAAATATTCCTATTAAAAATGTATGTAAAATAGACAATTTCTATAAAATACTTGAGTGAAATGAGAACCCGTGAAAATAACTACACCTCTCCAAAGCAGTACGATTCGTTTGTGATTGCATTTCAACACAGTATTCTAATTGAATATTGATCGCAAATCCAAAATTAGCATGGTAGACAAATTATTTTGGTTAATTAATCACGTATCATTTAGGAGTTAACTTCACTTTAATGTGTTAATTTTTGATAAACTAAAACACAACTACTCTTTTTTGAAAAATTTTAGATCCACAAACACATGCCCACTTAAGTATGTTTTGATTGAGAATAGTGTTACCATTTTTCTCATGAGAAATATGCTTGGTATAATTGTCATTTAATTAACTTGTGTAGTAAGTTGACTTCAAATCTGATTAATTTTATTAAGAAATCTAAAAGTTAATTAAGAGGCTAAGTTCAAACTGGCTAACTAACTCCTCTGGGCCTTATAAACAAATGGGATATGCTAATTAAGTTAGATTTGTTGGTAAGGAATTAGATGAAACTTCTGAATGTTTCTCAAATACACCATTTTGAATATATTACCTCCTGTAGCTTAGATATTAATAAATGTCTCAACTAATTTTTGCTTGAATTATGTGGGACAGAACTTGAACCAGCAGGACTTATAATTCTCAAAGGAAGTAAAAAAAAAAAAACAAAAAACAAAAAAACAAAATCATTAAGGGCCAACATAGCTAGGAAAGCAATCATTTTGTTCTTTAGATGGATCTACGGCATGTAAGTTTATACTGGGCCCGATGCGGACTGAAAATTCTGAAATTGTAGCTCGAATACTCTACACACTCGAATCTAGCATTTTCCAAAATTTGAGCTGGGCATTAGTACCCTTTTTCGACAGTAAGATCCAACTTAAAATTAAAGAAATAATATACAAATACTCAAAAAGAAACAGAAATAAACAAGAAAATGTAACAAAACTCTTATGACCATGACGGAGAATTATCTGTGTATAAAGCATTAAAAAAAAATACATATGTGAACTCTGAAAATTTCATAATAGAATAATCTCGAACAAAAAAAAATCAATGACAATATAGTTATTGCTTCACTGCAACTCATTGTTTGCGTATCTTTTTATGAAATTTAGAATCATAATAGTTGTTTTGACTGCCTATTTTTGAAACTGAAAGAAATATAAGTGATTATTTCTTAACAACGCACAACTCACTTTATTCCCCCACCCCACCATATTATGTATGCGTAAAACGTACGGTTAACTCGCAATTAATTTACTATATGAAAGGAAATAAGAGGAGCTCCAACATAAGAAGCTTCCAAAGGATTTGATAAAAATTTGCGCTTGCTTCCTGCATATACAATAATGTTAAATTTGTGATCAATATCAATAGTTCATTACTCATTAGAATAAACATGTAGTTGAGTTTAAGGTGGACATTTTATAATTACCGGGACATAATTTGCTCTTTCCAACTTTCTCGCCTAAAAGAAAACAAGAAAAGATGTTAGTAAGAGAGTTTTTAATTATATTTCATTAAATTTCTTAATTTACATATGTCGAACCTCGAAAAGTAACCATAAGGCAAAGATTGAATGAGCAGGCAACATTATGTAAGACTTGAAAGCCTGTAGATAATAAATGAACAAAAGGGTTTATTAATCTCCACATAAATAAAGACCGGTTAAAGAGAGAAAATAATAAGAAGAAAATCTTCGATGGAATCGTTTTTAATCAATTATTGGAAACCACTCACACACCAATTAAATGAGCTAATTAGTTAGTAATTTACTTCAATAAATCATTAAGTTACAAGAAATAGAGGGAAAAGAAGACGAAGGGAAAATATAGTAACACCTAAAATTAAAGGAAAAAAAGAACTATATAGTAAACCATTGAATATAATTACCTGAGACATGTAGATGCCAATTACTGTAGCACCAATATAAGTTAGTAGCATAATGGTCGTTCCAAGAAATGTAATATTTTTAGGTCCGAATTTCGCCGCGAATGTTTGAATGTTATACCTATAATGGTTAATTTTTTTTGGAAGGTAATAAATGTATAAGCTAAAACATATTTTTAAACTTAAAAAGCGACTAATATAGAAAATTTTGAAAAGTAATTAAGTCTACTAAATATCATGATAAATATAAAACTTACTTCTTGTCACCTTCAACGTCTGGAATATCTTTTATAAGACAAACAACAAAGAAAAATAAAGTAGAATAGGTCATGATGAAAACATCTGGGGGGCTGCAAGGCAAATTGGAAGTCAAACATGAGATAAGAACAGTCAAATATATTATTCGAACACGACATAAATGGTACACTTGTATAAGTTTTTTGCGATGAAACTGCATGGTGATATAATAGTTTGGTTTTCTATAAAGAAAACGTTGAACGGTAGTTGGCTAGTTGCTTCAGGTGTTTTCTATGACATCATCTCTTGTTGACTATCAAACATCAATGTTGTAATTATTAAGATATTATCAAGCTTATATCATATGACACCTCCATTGATTTTATAATTATTAACCAGCAACAATTTGAGAATTAATTTCGTTTTATAATTGATGGAACTCAATTAGCTGCCAATGAAGACGATATGGGATGGGAACTCAATTAATTGGATAGAGGTAATATTCTCTTCCACAAATCACAACTAACGTTGGTTTGAGTTTAAATCAGTAATTTTGATTATAACTTTTGAAATTTAATTTCTTTTAAAGAGAAAAAAATTGTAACAGAATCAAAACCATGATTTTGATATATGAGTTCAAATCAGTCCTATACATGTATTGGACTCAAATTTATTGTGTCTCAACTAATATCTGACTAATTTTATTATGACAAGTTATTTAATAAACTTAAACGTTACAACATGCAAAAATTTGATAAAGTATCCAAAATATGGGCCCATTCCATATGTGAATTAAGGGAAAAAAGAAATTTACCGATCCAGCATAAATCTAAGAGCAATCTTATATATGACGATGGAAATAAATTCTCATAAGATACAGATGATGGTTCCTCCTAGTGAGGCAACGCACGATCCACTCATATGCCTGACGGGCATTTATTCTGATCGAGTTCAAAAGTATTTTTCAAGATTTTATCTTAATAAAATAAAATAAGAAAAGGCCCTAATAAAAATTTAAATGAAAATGATTTATTAATTAATAAGATAATTTGCCAAAGGTTAATTTGAAGGAGACAGAGCAAGGTATGAAAAATTAATAAATAAACAAAATCGTTACGCGTACCTCCACTGGAATGGAAGCCCAAGAGAAGTTTTGGTGGCGTAGAATATACCAATATTTTGACAAAAACTCGTCTGCATATATAAGCAGCTAATTTCGTTATACAAATTATCACTTTTTTTCACTCAAGAAAGATATAAAATAGTAATGGGAAAGAGAGAATTATTTAATAGAAATTATAGAAAACAGCTACATCACAAAGTATACTCTACTTCTATATTCTAGAACAACATATATATTAATTAATAAAATCTGTCTTATAAGGTGTCCCTGAGAACATACGATAAATCTTACATATTGATTGATCACAAACTATATTTTTCAAATTATTATTAGTAACACAATTTTTCCTGTCATTTTTAACTTTTAAGGACTATTATACATCTAACAACCTACAAAGATAAATAAATTAAAACAAAAATTCATTAGAATATTTTGGATGGAAAGAAAATAGTAATACCAAAGGAAGCAAAATAGCCGTTGCAACAGGATTTCTCTTCACTCTAAATGGAGGAACAGAATATAAAATCGCCAATAAAATACAAACACTATAGAGGCAAGTAGTGATTAGGTCGGCATTCACCAACCACAAAATCAAGAGGCCAGTAGACACAGAAAATATCGTCACAAACCATGCTTGTTTTAGTGAAAGATCTCCTGCTGGTAAGGGTAAATAAGGTTTGTTCATCCTGAACATAACAAAAAGAAAAAATAAACTAAAATTTTTTTATCCGCAGATAAAAATAATAATAATAAAAGTAAGAGAACTTATGCACATCCTGCACGTAATAACAAGCACCATGGACACCCAACAAATTATGTGGGTATTTAGAGACTTTTATTTGTGTGATTCTTTTAACTGTCATTTTGATTTAGATGTTGTATTAAGTTTACCTGATTGTTTTACAATACAATCGTCAGCTAATGTGTTGATGAAAATATATATACATATATATTGTGTATATTTACGTCGTAGAAGCGTACCTGTCAATTTCGATGTCAAAAATTTGATTAAGGCCATTCGCATAAACTAATGCAAGAACAACACTAATTAGGCCCAAGAATGCCTTAAACAGCAGGGGCCATTGAAACGACTGTTTGTTCTCGACCATTACTCTTGCAAATAAACATCTGCTCAATAAAATAAATAAATTAAAAAAAAACAGAGAGAGAGGTCATATAAAGTTATATAAAATACTATTTGCAACTGGATCTGAAAGAAAAGGAAGTTAATTTCTTCAATCGCAAATTATTCACTTTGTTTGATTTTTTTTTTCTTTCTGTAATTAATTGTCGGTAGAAGATTACTTACATGGACGCTGTAAATGGTTGAGTCATTGAATAGGGCCTTATGAACCTCCATACACTGGATCCAAAACGTAAAACTTTGGCAACCAAATTGGAAGCAGCTGCCTCATCAGGTTGATTTTTGTCGGGAAAATTGAGTTTAGCAGATACCTAAAACAATTAATTAGAAAAATTTGTAAGTACTTGAATTGAAAGTAATTTGAAGTACAACTAATATTAAAGGTAATCAAATCACAGGTTAGTTAATGAAACATAAGCAAGCCTTTCAATAACATAATTTTTATAAAAGGTGGTTACAGAAATAATCTAATAGTAACTCCACATCTGATTTTATTATAAGGTGTAGAGTTCGAATCCCCACCACTAAATTCAAAAAGATACTATATATATACATATAAAAAAACCGACTATAACCTCCTCACATTATGATCAAATATGAATTAATTTTAGATCTACTAGGGTCTAGATAGATTCAAAATGTAAAAGGATGAAAAATGCAACTAAACAATATTTCATTAACACAACAGGATGTTTGATGGTGCGTTCAGAAAATTTGCATTATTTTCATTGCTAAAAAGTTTCAACCCATAGTAACATAAGATGCAAAGAAATAAAATAAAGTATAATACCTGAACGAAATTACGATTGTGTTGGCCAAATAATAAGGGGTTTGACAATCTGCTGTCCCCATAGAGCCCTATTGGCTGGATCAATTTATTGGTGGAGCATTTTGATGAAGGAAACTTGGATGGTTTGATATCTTTATTTGTAGGCTTAATTGGAATCGACATCCTGACATGAAAATTGGAGAGCCTATAATGTTGAGAAATAAAAGGTGATGCTGAGATTGGGAGATCCATAACAACCAATTTGAAGAAAAAAAAGGGCAAAAGAGAGCAAGAAAGTGTTTTAATAACAAATGTTTCAAGAGCTTTGATACTTATAGGAGCAAGAGCTTTTTGATTCATTGGAAGATAATAATATTTAAACGGGTTACGCAATTAAACAAGTTACGTACGAAATTGCGTGTTATGAAAATTGGAGAACCTATAACGTTGAGAAATAAAAGGTGATGCTGAGATTGGGAGATCCATAACAACCAATTAGAAGAAAACGACAAAAAAAAGAGAACAAGAAAGTGTCTTAATAGCAAATGTTTCAAGAGCTTTGAAACTTATAAGCAAGAGCTTTTTGATTCATTGGAAAATAAGATTTAGAAGGGTTACGCAATTAGACGAGGGACGTACGAAATTGCGTACTGCACATGCTACTGGCAAAGAATGACCGCTTTTTTTTGGCGGTTGACTATATTAGGTGCATGCAAGGCCACTGATTCAACTGAAAAAATTTAATAAAAATTGTGAATTCTAAAAAAAAAAAAATGTTAATAAAATATATATTTAAATATATAAATATCTATACATATTACGTCAAACCTTGACGTAAATTATAATTACGTTAATGATATTGACAATTTAAATATATGTTTGTGGGTATTTTGACAGTGTTTTCTTTCCTCCCCTGTATGATACACAATGTCTGGGTATTTTGGTAGTCTTTTCTTTCCTCCCCAATATGATACGTATATTAAATATTTTAATACGTAGAATTCTTCTAATGGATTCGGATAAGATGTCTAATTTTTAGTGCCTTAAATAATATCTATTCAATTTTATTTCTGTTTAGATTGGTGTCTTTAAACATGAGATGTAATAAGAATATTTTATTATTTGATGAATAAAATAGTTTATTCATTATTTATGTGCATGCATTATTGAATACTTTATGAATATCATAGAAAATTCGGTGATTATTTATGTAACTTTGAATATTGTATATAAGTGTTATATACGAGAAGATAATATTTAAGGATAATAATCAAAACAATGTTCGTAATGAATTTAATTAAAGTTTCAGAATCTTTGATTAAAACATTACAAATACATGTCATTCCTATTAAGAATGGAATGATGTTATCCGCATCATTAATATAGATAGATATTGAATGTGTGTATTATGCATAATGAGGTTATGTAGAACTGAGACACAGACACAATTTGATTTTCTGATAATTTCTATTAAGCATAGAAAATCAAATTTGAGTCTACCGATGGTCATATATAAAATGATCTTAATCCTGGGTTATTAGTAGACTCCTATTTATAGATTCGTGTTCTTTGATTTATTCGGTATGGATTTTGAGATCCTAAATCATATTCCTTGTATCTTGAAAACATGATGAAATGGATAGCCAGGAATGGTGATATACAATATGGAATCCATTGCTTCTTCTTTGAAGAAGTATATAAATAATTCCCTTGAGAGTTGATTCGGTACTTGAATAAGTAATGATCTTGTATTCATGAATGTGTTTTATGAACATACTATTCATTCGAGAATCAATGGTACTCAAAGATAAATATGTAATTATAGAGGTTAGAGGATTTTATCTAGCTCTAAATATGAATTATTTATGGAGGATCGATCTATATGCAGTGACTATATCAAATGGACACTTCAAGTTCTTAGAAGTAAAATATGTCTATAATTTTGAGAGTGCAATTCTAAGTTTTTAGTGGAGTCACTTTTAGAATTAATAGAATTAATAAATTAATTAAAGAGTTTAATTAATTATTTATTTTATTGGAGTTTAGAATTATCCATCCATAAGTCCCCCATCATCCTTGTATTACTTGCAAGATAAGATGAATTATCAAAATTTTATTTTACTCGTGAATAATTAATTAAGAATTAATTATACATTAAATAATGTGATTATTTAATTATTTTTTGTCACACTGTAGTGGGACCACAAGGGACATGAGACACTGGGAAAAATCCCATTGAGATTTAGTTACTTACTCTCCAACTAATCCAATTTACTTGTTTGACAAATTTTCTAATTAAATTCAAAAAGAAAAGTAAAAATGTTACTTTATTTGGAATTGAATTTAGGCTGAAATTAGAAACTGGATTAGGAAAGAATTTTCTCCTTCCTTCTTAAGTGATGACCAGCCACACAATAAGAAAAAAAGGAAGGAAAGTTTGTTTTCAAAAGAAAAAGGGAAACTGTATTTTTAATGAGATTAAAAATATAGTAGTTACCAATTTCTTATTTCTTTGTCTATAAGCAAAGGTTTCTCCTAATTGTCTATAAATAGGAGACAGATTGATTGATTGTTTTTTCTTCAAAATTTCTCTAGGTTGGCCGAATTCCCTAAGAGAGAAAAGAGAAGAAAAATTCTTCCAATTTTTCAAATTCTTTCACATACATGTGTTGATAGTGAAAGAATACCAGCGAATGATTGTTCCGATAGTTTATACCTTGAGCCCACACTCATCATCTTGTAAAATCAAGGAGTAGACGAGAAAGACTTAGGTGTTCTAAAAAAGCTTTTGGAACGAGAAACGTTCGTTGGCCAAAGAAAACAAGTTATATTTTTAATCATTAGCAATGTATTTTTCTTTACATATTAATGAGATTAATTTATTTTTGCATAAATTAATATAATATATAGTGTATTCAAAATGTTTTGTGAAAATTTTTTATTATACACAATCTGCACTACCACGTTTCCTCACTCGAAACTTGTCGAAAACCAACAATTTCGTCATATCATTTAATGAACAAGCATGATAATGTCACTTCAATAACATTTTAAATTTTTTTTAAATGATGTGATACAATATAGTTAGTTAGACATCATGATTGGTGTCTTCTTAAAAGAACTAAATTAATGGCCCTTGGGTCTTAATTTTGGCAGAATTCATCACGTGAGGAGGATGAAATTAGCAAGTTAATTAATACGTAATAAGTGGTGATAATTAGATTAAGAACTGAATTATGAAAGCTGAGCCTGGAAATTAGGAACTAGTAATGATATATTAAGATTTATATTTCTATATGGAATTCATAGAAAAATATGTTAAATATAAAATTAATCTTGATGAAAACGGATGGGTGACAGTGACAATAGTAGTTTTCTTTTTGGCTTACTAGCTAGACTCTCTCCGAGAAGTCACAAACTTGATCAACCTTTATTTATTTATTTAAATGATGGTTAAGCATCGTGTTTTGTCAATATATATAATCACTACAGATAGGTTAGATTATTGATGTTTTTAAAGTTTTAGCTGTTGGGTTTCTTTTTTTTTTTTTTGTTTTTTTTTTTGCTACAAAGCTGTTGGGTTTCTTTAATAAAGTCGATTGAGGTACAGTAAGAAAGGAGCCAATTATTGAGGCCGGGCCAAAACAGTTTTACTTTATTGTTGATGAGAGAACAAAAAGAAAAAGAACGAGAAAAGGATGAAATAAACCTCAGACATCTGTGAGCCTCCGTTAAGGTTCCAATTATTACATAGGTTAAGGAACCAAAGCTTCAAGGCTCACCTGAAAAAGTCTTTTCAATGCTCTACTATTACAATTACCAACCTCAATCTTTGTTATCTGTGTCTATTGATGGTAATCAACATGACATTTATGCTAATAACGATCAGTAACAAGAAATTAAGTTATCTCAAATCAATCATACGTCCTTTTAAAATTATTTCATAGCCTCTTTTTTACATGTTACAGTGACAAAATTTGGTTACTTTCACCGGTGGCCTCAAAGATATCCACTTTTCTCGTATTCATCGTCCACATTCATTTTAAATTAGGTCTAATTACCTAATTTTTAAAATATAGAGTTTTGATCTTTCTGTTAATAAACTGTCTATTTTTAGCCAGAATGTAAATAGCACGAGGATGTTAGGTTTTGAAAATGATAAAATTGTTAAAAAAGAGGCAGATTTTTTAGTAGACTTTAGAAAGATGAACTAGATATAGCTTTTTGTTTTCAACCGTTACCGTAGTTTATTTTTTCTAAATATACAGGAAAAACCCTCTAAAAAAGAGGAAAAGCTCAATAAAAAGAAAAAAAAAAAGAGTACTAACACATGTCCATAAAGGACGCACAATATTCTCGTGATACTAAGGCCTCGTTCATTTTACCGAATTTTCAGTTTTAAGTTTTTACAGTAAAAAGCTCTCAGAAAATATCACATCAAAATTTTCTACTACAGTGAAAAGCTCTCAGAAAATGTCACATTTCAGCTCGAATTGAAAACTCGAATCCGCGAAGTGAACGAGGCATAACACATTATATAATGAATGCGTTCACATGATATATATTGGCGGGAAAAAAAATAAAATAAAAAACAACAGAAAAACGAGACAGAGAATAAAAGCTATATGCAAGGCTGCTACAGAAGCAGCTTTGCCAAAAACACGTACTTTGCTTGTGAAAACTTAATGAGAATCTGTTACTTGAAAGAGCGAGTAATTTGCCTGCAAACCGAAAATTTATAATTGCTACGCAATTTTTCTAGTAGGACAGTTCAGTTTCCAAACGATAAATTAGTTAAAATTACATTATATTAAAAAATAATATTTATATATTTATATTCTGTGTTTTAAGTTTATTTAAAATCTATGCATTTAATTTTTAAAATGACTAAACTATCCTTAATAAAAAGGAAAAAAAACACAAACTTTATAATGTTATGATAATTAAAAATTAATAACACAAACAATCTATTTAAATGGTATTTTACATATTTCAGAGGTCAAAATCGTGAGTTTGAAGTTTTTTTTTATAAAGTTTTTCCTTTTTCTATGGTTTTATTTAAGGGTATTTTAGGTATTCTAAAGGTTAAAATTGAGGATTGATTGTGGAAAGGTATAAATTTTAGTATTAAATCTAATTTGAATGTATATATTTGATGAGATAAAAAATTAAATGTATAATTTTTAAATAAACGCAAAACACAAAGTATAAAGGTAAATATCCCTAATAAAATACATGTAAAATAGAGAGTTTCTATAAAATACTTGAGTGAAGATGAGAATCCGTGAAAATAACTACACCTCTCCAAAGCAGTACGATTCGTTTATGATTGCATTTCAACACAGTATTCTAATTGAATATTGATCGCAAATCCAAAATTAGCATGGTAGACAAATTATTTTGGTTAATTAATGACGTATCATTTAGGAGTTAAGGAATATTGACAATATATATAAAATTCGATCACGACAAGAGCATTTCTATTTGGCTTCAAGCGGGTTTTAACTTCACTTTAATGTGTTAAACTTTTGATAAACTAAAACACTACTACTCTATTTTGAAAAATTTAAGATCCACAAACACATGCCCACTTAAGTGTGTTTTGATTGAGAATAGTGTTAGCATTTTTCTCATGAGAAATATGCTTGGTATAATTGTCATTTAACTTGTGTAGTAAGTTGATTTCAAATCTGATTAATTTTATTAAATAATCTAAAAGTTAATAAAAGTTAATTAAGAGGTTGAGTTCAAACTAGCTAACTTATTCTTCTGGGCCTTATAAACAAATGGGATATGCTAATTAAGTTAGATTTGTTGGTAAGGAATTAGATGAAACTTGTGAATGTTTCTCAAATACACCATTTTGAATATCTTACCTCCTGTAGCTTAGATATTAATAAATGTCTCAACTAATTTTTGCTTGAATAATGTGCTAATTAAGACTTATTATTCTCCAAGGAAGTAAGTAAAAAAAAAAAATCGTTACGATCAGTAAGGATTCACTAGGGGCCAACATAGCCAGGAAAGCAATTATACTCTAACATAGCATTTTGTAAAATTTGAGCTGGGCATCAGTAACCATTTTTGAGAGTAAGATTCAACTTAAAATCAAAGAAATAATATGAAGATACACAAAAAAAAAAAAAACAGAAATAAATATGAAAATGTAACAAAACTCTTATGACCATGACATAGAACTATATCTATGACAATATAGTTATTGCTTAACTACAACACACTGTTTGCGTATCTTTTTATGAAACTTAGAATCATAATAGTTGTCTTGACTGCCTATTTTTGAAACTGAAAGAAATATAAGTGATTATTTCTTAACAACGCACAACTCACTTTATTCCCCCACCCCACCATATTATATATGCGTAAAACGTACGGTTAACTCGCAATTAATTTACTATATGAAAGGAAATAAGAGGAGCTCCAACATAAGAAGCTTCCAAAGGATTTGATAAAAATTTGCGCTTGCTTCCTGCATATACAATAATGTTAAATTTGTGATCAAAATCAATAGTTCATTACTCATTAGAATAACATGTAGTTGAGTTTAAGGTGCATATTTTATAATTACCGGGACATAATTTGCTCTTTCCAACTTTCTCGCCTAAAAGAAAACAAGAAAAGATGTTAGTAAGAGAGTTTTTAATTATATTTCATTAAATATCTTAATTTATATATGTCGAACCTCAAAAAGTAACCATGAGGCAAAGATTGAATGAGCAGGCAACATTATGTAAGACTTGAAAGCCTGTAAATAATAAATGAATAAAAGGGTTAATTAATCTCCACATAAATAAAGACCGGTTGCTGAGAGAAAATAATAATAAAAAAATCTTCGATGGAATCATTTTTAATCAGTTATTGGAAACCACTCACACATCAATTAAGTGAGCTAATTTGTTAGTAATTTACTTTAATGAATCGTTGAGTTGCAAGAAATAGAGGGAAAAGAAGACGAAGGGAAAATATAGTAACACCAAAAATCAAAGGGAAAAAAAAGTAACTATATAGTAAACTATTGAATATAAATACCTGAGACATGTAAATGGCAGCTACTGTAGTACCAGCATAAGTTAGTAGCATAATGGTCGTTCCAAGAAATGCAACATTTTTAGGTCCGAATTTTGCCGCAAACGTTTGAATGTTATACCTATAATGGTTAATTTTTTTGAAGTAATAAATGTATAAGCTAAAACATATTTTTAAACTTAAAAAGCGACTAATGTAGAAAATTTTAAAAATTTAAGTTTATTAAATGTAAATATACAACTTACTTTCTGTCACCTTCGACGTCTGGAATATCTTTAATAAGACAAATAACAAAGAAAAACAAAGTAGAATAGGTCATGATGAAAACGTTTGGGGGGCTGCAGGGAAAATTGGAAGTCAGACATACGATAAAATTGGACTGTCAAATAAATTATTCGAACACGAAATAAATGTTACACTTGTAAGTTTTTTGCAATGAAACTGCATGGTGATATAGTTAATAAAGAAACAAAAATCGTTACGCGTACGTCCACTGGAATGGAAGCCCAAGAGAAGTTATGGTGGCGTAGAGTACACCAGTATAGTTACAAATGCTCATCTGCATATATAAGCAGCTAATTTCGTCATACAAATTATCACATCTTTCACTCAAGATAGATATAAAATAGTAATGGGAAAGAGAGAATTATTTAATAGAAATTATAGAAAACAGCTACATCCCAAAGTATACTCTACTTTTATATTCTAGCACAATATGTTAATTGAAAAAATCTGTCTCATAAGGTGTCTTTGAGAACATAAACAGAATTTTACGCGATAAATCTTACATAATGATTGATCCCAAATTATATTTTTCAGATTATTATTAGTAATACTTTTTCCGGTTATTTTTAACTTTTAAGGACTATTATACATCTAACGACCTACAATGATAAATTAATTAAAACAAAAATTGATTAGTAGATTTTGGATGGAAAGAAAATAGTAATACCATAGGAAGCAAAATAGCCGTTGCAACAGGATCTCTCTTCACTCTAAATGGAGGAACATAATATAAAGTCGCCACTAAAATACAAGTACCATAGAGACAAGTAGTGATTAGGTCGGCATTCACCAACCACAAAATCGATAGACCAGTAGATACAGAAAATATCGTCATAAACCATGCTTGTTTTAGTGAAAGATCCCCTGCTGGTAAGGGTAAATATGGTTTGTTCATCCTGAACGTCACATAGAAAAAATAAGCTAAAACCTTATTTTTCACCACAGATAAAAAAAAAATAATAAAAGTAAGAGAAGTTTGCACATCCTGCACGTAATAACAAGCACCAAGGACATATATATCCAATACAACTGTTTATAGATTTAGATGTTGTATTAAGTTTAACTGATTGTTTTACAATACAATCGTCAGCTAATGTGTTGATGAAAATGTATATACATATATATTGTGTATATTTATGTAGAAGCGTACCTATCAATGTCGATGTCAAAAATTTGATTAATGCCATTCAAATAAACGTATGCAAGAACTACACTAATTAGGCCCAAGAATGCCGTAGACAGTAGGGACCATTGAAACAACTGTCTGTTCTCGACCATTACTCTTGCAAATAAACATCTACACAATAAAATAAAATAAATTAAATTAAAATTAAAAAAAAAAGAAAGAGAGGACATATAATGTTATATAAAATACTATTTGCAACTGGATCTGAAAGAAAAGGACGTTAATTTCTTCAATCGCAAATTAATCACTTTGTTTGATTTTTTTTTTTCTGTGTTTAATTAATTGTCTGTAGAAGATTACTTACATGGACGCTGTAAATGGTTGAGTCATTGAATAGGGCCTTATGAACCTCCATACACTGGATCCAAAACGTAAAACTTTGGCAACCAAATTGGAAGCAGCTGCCTCATCAGGTTGATTTTTGTCGGGAAAATTGAGTTTAGCAGATGCCTAAAACAATTAATTAGAAAAATTTGTATGTACTTGAATTGAAAGTAATTTGAAGTACAACTAATATTAAAGGTAATCAAATCACATGAGTACTAACTATAGAGAACCTTTAGTTAATGAAACGTGCTCAAATTAATTAATAGTTATGCAAGCAAGCCTCTCAATTATAACATCATTTTTATAAAAGGTGGTTGCAGATATAATCTAACAGTAACTCCACCTCTGATTTTATTATAAGGTGTAGAGTTCGAATCTCAACACCAAGTTCAAAAAGATATCATATATATGCATATAAAGAAAACTGACCAAAATCTCCTCAGGTTGGTTTTTGTCGGGAAAATCGAGTTTAGCAGATGCCTAAAACCATTATTGAGAAAAATTTGTAAGTACTTGAATGGAAAGTAATTTGAAGTACAACTAATATTAACGGTAATTAAATCACAGGAGTTCTAATTATAGAGAAAACTTAGGCCTCATTCACTTCGCAGATTCAAGTTTTCAATTCGAGTTGAGATGTCATTTTTTTAAAGCTTTTAACTGTAGCAGAAAAAGTTAGATGTGATATTTTTCTGAGAGCTTTTAACTTTAGAAATCTAAAACTAAGAACTCGAGTCAGTAAAAAAATGAACAAGACATTAGTTAATGAAACATGCTCAAATTATTTAATGGTTATGCAAGCAAGCCTCTTAATAACATCATTCTTATAAAGGTGGTTGCAGACATAAACTAATAGTAACTCCACATTTGATTTTATGATAAGGTGTAGAGTTTGAATCCCCACTACAAAGTTCAAAAAGATATCATTTAGATACATATAAAAAAACCGACAATAACCTCCTCATATTATGATCAAATATGAATTAATTTTATATCTATTAGGGTGCAGATAGATTCAAAATGTAAAAGGATATGAAAAATGCAACTAAACAATATGTCATTAACACAACAGGATGTTTTATGGTACGTTCAGAAAATTTGCATTATTTCCATTGCTAAAAAGTTTCAACCCATACTAACATAAGATGCAAAGAAATAAAATATAGAATAATACCTGAACGAAATTACGATTGTGTTGGCCAAATAATAAGGGTTGTGACCATCTGCTGTCCCCATTGAGCCCTATTGGCTGGATCAATTTATTGGTGGGCCATTTTGATGAAGGAAAGTTGGATGGTTTGAAAACTTTATTTGTAGACTTAATTGGAATCGACAGCCTGAGATGAAAATTGGAGAACCTATAATGTTGAGAAATAAAAGGTGATGCTGAGATTGGGAGAGCCATAACAACCAATTTGAAGAAAAGGGCAAAAGAGAACAAGAAAGTGATTTAATAACAAATGTTGCAAGAGCTTCGAAACTTATAGGAGCAAGAGCTTTTTGATTCATTGGAAGATAATAATATTTAAACGGGTTACGCAATTATACGAGATATGTACGAAATTTCGTGACATGCTACTTGCAAAGAATGGCCGCTTTTTGTGGCGGTTGACTATATTTTGTGCATGCAAGGCCACTGATTCAACTTAAAAAATTTGGCATCGTCTCATGTTGACCATCAAACATCAATGTTGTAATTATTAAGATATTACCAAGCTTATATCACATGACACCTCCGTTGATTTTATAATTATTAACCAGCAACAACTTGAGAATTAACTTGGTTTTATAATTGATGGGAACTCAATTAATTAAATAGAGGTAATATTCTCTTCCACAAATCACAATTAGTGTTCGTTCAAATCAACAGTTTTGATAGAGATAATATTCTCTTCCACAAATCACAATTGGGGCTGGTTTGAGTTCAAATATGTAATTTTGATTATAACTTTTGAAATTTAGAGTCGAATCAAAACTGTGATTTTGATATATGAGTTCAAACCAATCCTATACATGAATCGGACTCAAATTTTTTGTGTCTCAACTAGTATCTAACTAATTATTGTGAAACGTTATTTAATAAAACTTAAACGTTACGACATGCAAAAATTTGATAAAGTATCCAAACTTCAGGCCCATTCCATGCGTGAATTAAGGAAAAAAAGAAATTTGAAGGTCCATAAAAAATCTAAGTGCAATCTTTTATATGAAGATGGAAATAAATTCTCCTGAGATACAGATGATGATTTATCCTAGTGAGGCAACGCACGACCCACTCATATGCCTAACGGGCATTTATTCCGGTCGAGTTCAAAAGTATTTTTCAAGATCTTATCTTAGTAAAATAAAGAGAGAAAGAGGAAAATATGCTAAGATTTGAGATGAATTAAAATTAATAGCCCAATAGTTTACATAAGTTAATAAATAGGCCAAATTACTGTTTTCGTCTATAACTTGTCTGGTTAGGAACCATAACTTGACAAGTTATTGTCCATAAATCACGGTTTTTGTCCACCGATTCAACTGAAAAACTTCAACAAAAATTGTTAATTATTTATGTAGGAAAAAGATTAAGAAATCATGATGAAGAAAAAAAAATAGAGACAACAACTATTTAGTTATCAAGTTTGGAAATTCTTAGAATTCATATCCTTGAATTATCATGAAAGTGTATGATGATTTAATTGTCTATAAAAAAATTTCAAAAACAAAGAATAGTTAGAGGTTTTATGGAATACTACGTGCATGCAAGACCACTGATTCAACTGAAAAAAGTCAACAAAAATTGTTGTTTATTTATTTAGGAAAAAGGTTAAGAAATCATGATGAAGAAAAAAAATAGAGACAAAAGCTATTTAGTCATCAAGTTTGGCAAATCCTAAAATTCATATCTTTGAATTATCATGAAAGTGTATGATGACTTAATTGTCAAAAGAAAAAATTAAAAACAAAGTATAATTAGAGATTTTATGGAATACTATGTGCATGCAAGGCCACTGATTCAACTGAAAAAATTCAACAAAAATTGTTATTTATTTATATACAGACAAAAATTAGAAGAAAAGGCAAAAGAGAACAAGAAATTAGTGTTTTAATAACAAATGTTTCAACAACTTTGAAACTTATAGGAGCAAGTGCTTTTTGATTCGTTGGAAGATAATAATATTCAAACGGCGGGGCACGTACGAAATTGCGGGTAGATGCAACTTGAAATGAATGGCCGCTTGACGGTTGTCTATACTACCATGCAAGGCCACTGATTCAACTGAAAAAATTCAACAAAAATTGTGAATTGTCAAAAATTATTGTTAGGTCTGTTTTCACATGTGTTACAATATTTTTAGCAACACTTATAATTAACTATCACGTTCTGAGATAATTAGTGGACACTGAATTGAAAACGTGCATAAACAAAAAATAATGCATAAAAGAACGAAAGAACACCAAAAATGATATCGCATTTTGGTGTGCACACCTACATCTGCGGGGTCATACCCAAACATTAAACAATCCACTAAGTTTAAAGATTTATAATCACCATTTGGTCTTACACACTCAAAGACTCTCTCTTTGCCGTAGTCGCCGTTGCAAAGAATCATCTTAGTGACTTTGTCCAGCGAGCACCACTCGTTTTTTAAGTCCTCCTGAAGAACAACTTTTGCTATTGCATCTCAAAGAACGTGAAATACAGACTTTTTCTGCAGGAAACTTCTTTCAAAAACACCTCATGTTGATCGCTACATTCCAGAATACACACCCCATTAAAGTAGTCAATAGTCCCATATTTTCTCACTACCAGAAACACCCTAAACTGGGCAACTTCTCCTTCAAGGATTCTTCCCATTCATAAAGCCCATCAATTTGCTAACAAAGTCAACCAAATCAACTAGAATTACTTGGCAATCAAATCCCTGAAACAGCCCTTCCAAAAATTGATTTCCATCAACAAAAACATTTCATATTCGGAGCAATCAAGCAACTAAAATCGCCTCTAATCTTCTCTATAAACACAAGTTGCCAAATGTACCTGTGTTTGAATTTTTATAACTAATGCCAACAAATTACAAACTAAAGTCTTAACAATCTCTCCCTTTGACAATTTTGGCAAAACTAACACATTGTTCTTATTAATAATAAAAATTTAAAAACTAGAAAAATTACAAAAATAACATTTTTCTCCTCCTTTTTGACAAAAATAAGCCAAAATAATAATAAAAAATCTTATAGAAACTGTTGTCGCAGAAAGCGTTGCAACACCTGATGGAACACTTTTCTGCAGATAATTTTTCAGGTTCATCGATTGATAACTCTATAAAATAGAGTTATTTTACCATTTTGTGTGCACCTTAATTAGCTATGTTCTTAAGAATATTTATTTATTTTATACTATTTTTAATCAAGTTAATTTAACTTGGTAAAAGTGTCTTTTTACTTTATTTTTATGTAAGTTTATCCTTATCTCGGTTGTGTAGGATAGAAGAGGTGGTTTTGAAATTCAAAGACAGAAAAGAGATTAACACAAAATCATGAAGGAGCGAGATTTATGGCTTTGGAAGCTCTATCCCACGGTTTTGGTGAGTAACAAGGGGGCTGGGAGAAAAGGGGCTAAAAAAAAGTTAAAAAGAAGAAGAGAGGAGATTACGCAAGAGGGCAGAAAAACTGGAAGAAGTGCTCGCAGACCAAGAATAAAAAGGAGATTTTGCACATATTGTAAAGGGGCATAGAAGAATTGTAGCACATCATCAGTATTTCTAGGATCAATTTCTTCTTTCATCTTCCTAAAACTTTTGCAAATGAATCCTTCTATTTTTCCGATGATTCTTATTAATTTGGTTATGGGCTAAATCCTTTTGTCTGGAATTGCAATGGAACTCAACATTTAGTTTTAGTTATTTTCACGTTTTTTCTCATTCATGATTAAGAAAATTCAGTTGTTTATTCTATCTTATCTTTATTGCTTCTTATTGTTTGGCCAATGGTTAGATTGATTCTGGAAAACCTCAATTTGCTTGAAAAAGTTGATTTTGCATTTAGCCCTAGATAGAATAGCATATGATCTTTTATCAGTCTATCAGAATTGATTAGATTTGTGTGTGAGATAGAAATATACTTCCATGCCATATGTAGTCAATTTGGGATTTGTGTTTACTGAATCTATTTTGACTTAATTCTCATAGAAATATAGTGAATTAATTGAAATGGGTATGTTTATGGGATGTTGAAAGAGTCACTTAAATAAAACTAGGGATCTTGATTAGCAACTGGGTTTAATTAATCAGAATGAGGAAGGGTGAGATTGCTTAAATGAAAGTGTTGAGGAAAATTGTAATTCTAGGTTGTCTTGCTTGATGGAATCATTAATCTTTTTGCTCATTATTCTATTTTCTTTAGTTTACATTTATTCAAATTGTTTCGTTTATTGAATAAAATTAAGTTGTTTAATTTTAGTACTTAACGGATTTTAATTTTAATTTCTCGTGGGATCGATACTCTATTCACTCTATATTACTTGTTTGTGGTACGTATACTTGCGTTATAAAATGATCAACAAGTTTTTGGCGTCGTTGCCGGGGAATTAATTTATTATTTGTGTTAATATTAACACCACAACAATTTTAGTCTTAATTCAATTTTATTTTCTTTTTGTTTGATTCAATTTGCCTTCTTTTCAGGTCCCTTGAGTAGTGTATGCGATGTTCGGGTGGAGCACTGAACCCTATTATCTTTGATCTTGAAATTGAAAAAACCATTCGATACATTCGGAAAAAGAGACGTGAAGAAGAGAGACATCACCAATCTATGGCTGAAGAAACATAGCTAAAGTCCTTGCGGGATTATGTAGTCCCTCTGGTGCAAGGCCTTCATTCGAGTATCCAGCGACCTGCTATACAAGCTAATAACTTCGAGATCAAGCCGGCGATAATTCAAATGTTGCAGACAACAGTTTAGTTTGGGGGGTTACCGTATGATGACCCTAATGCTCATATTGTCAACTTCCTAGAGATCTGCGATACCTTCAAGTATAATGGTGTTTCTGACGATGCCATTAGACACCGGTTGTTCCCGTTCTCACTGCGAGATAAAGCTAAAGTTGGCTAAATTCTCTTCAGGCAGAATCTATTTCTACATGGGATGATTTGGCACATAAATTTTTAGCCAAATTCTTTCCAACGGCTAAGACTGCAAAGGTGAGGAATGACATCACCCAGTTCATACAGTTTGATTCTGAATCATTATATGAAGCATGGGAGAGGTATAAGGATCTTTTCAGAAAATGTCCTCACCATGGGTTACCAAAGTGGTTACAGGTTCAGACATTCTATAATGGGTTGTTAGGCCATACAAGAACAACCATTGATGCTGCGGCAGGTGGTGCTCTTATGGGGAAGTCTATAAATGAAGCTTATGAATTATTGGAAGAAATGGCGTCTAATAATTATCAATGGCCTGCGGAGAGATTGGCACCCAAGAAGATTGCTGAAATTCATGAACTTGATGCTATTAATGCCTTGACCACACAAGTGTCTGCTTTATCCAGGAAGTTTGATACATTTGGAGTTCATGCCATTCAGAGTTCAAATATGGGTGGTGAGTTATGTGGGGGAAGTCATCTAAATGATCAGTGCCCATCAAATTGCGAATCAGTATAGTTTGTTGGAAATTTTAATCGGCTGCAAAATAACCCGTATTCCAGCAACTATAACCCAGGATGGAGGAATCACCCAAATTTTTCTTGGAATAACAACCAAGGGTCGGCGTAATTAGAAAAACCGGCATTCCCTCCTGGTTATCCACAACAAGCTAGAGGTCCACCACCAGAAAAGAAGCTATCCATAGAAGAAATCCTAGCTCAGTACATGGTAAAGAATGATGCAATACTCCAGAACCAAGCAGCAACTCTCAGGACTCTTGAGACACAGTTGGGTCAATTAGCTAGTGTTATTAATACTCGCTCGTATGGAACTTTGCCAAGCGACACTGAAGCTAACCCTAAGAGAGATGAGAAGGAGCAGTGTAAAGTAGTCACACTGCGCAGTGGAAAGGAATTGACTGAAATTCCTAAAAAGCCAGAAGCTACAGTCAAGTAGCAAGTGCAAACCGAGGTAAGCAACAAGTCTGAAACTGAAGCATCAATTAAGCCAATACAATACAACCCACCACCACCATTTCCTCAGCGATTCCAGCAGCAAAAACTTGACAAACAATTCCAAAAGTTCCTAGAGGTCTTCAAGAAGCTACACATTAATATCCCATTTGCTGAAGCCTTAGAACAAATGCCTAGTTATGTTAAGTTCATGAAGGGCATCTTATCCAAGAAAAGGAGATTGGGGGATTTTGAAACAGTAGCTCTCACAGAACAGTGCAGTCCCATTCTCCAAAAGAAACTCCCACCAAAGCTTAAGGATCCAGGCAGTTTTACTATTCCCTGCACTATAGGGACTCAATTCTATGGTAGAGCGTTGTGTGATTTAGGAGCCAATATCAATCTAATGCCATTATCCATTTATCAAAGGCTTGAATTACCAGAGGTAAAGCCCACTAATGTCACTTTACAGCTTGCGGATAGATCCCTCACTTATCCAAAGGGAATTGTGGAGGATGTACTAGTTAAAGTGGATAAGTTTATCTTTCCAGTGGATTTTGTGGTTCTTGACATGGAGGAGGATCGTGAGATCCCAATTATTTTAGGGAGACCATTTATGGCTACTGGGAGGACTCTTATTGATGTTGAAAAGGGAGAGCTTACCATGAGAGTTCAAAACCAAGAAGTGACCTTCAATGTGTTTAAAGCCATGAAATTTCCTACAGAGCCTAATGAATGCTTTGCCATTAATATGGTAGATGATCTCGTTAGCAAGATGTTTGCCGAAACACATCCCATTGATCCCCTCGAAGCTTCTATTACCAATTCGGATGTGAACCATGATCAAGAGGCCACGGAGTTTGTACACTTTCTGGATGTAGCACCACGATTCACTTACTCCTCACAACAGTTTGAATCGTTAGAGAGACCAACTAATGCTCCCACAATTATAAAGCCTTCAGTCAAAGAACCACCATCATTGGAGCTTAAACCACTGCCTAATCACTTACGGTATGCATTTCTTGGTACATCATCTACATTACTAGTGATTATTTATGCGTCTCTAACAGTAGAACAGGAAGACAAGCTGCTCCAGGTTTTAAGAGATCACAAACTGGCGCTAGGATGGTCTATTGCAGATATCAAAGGTATTAGTCCTTCTATTTGCATGCATAAAATTCTATTTGAGGATAATATCAAACCATCTATCGAGCACCAACGGAGATTGAACCCAATCATGAAAGAGGTGGTAAGAAGGAGATTATCAAGTGGCTTGATGCATGTATTATTTATCCTATCTCTGATAGTTCTTGGGTGAGTCCTGTTCAATGCGTAACAAAGAAGGGAAGGATGACAGTAGTTGCAAATGATAATAATGAGCTCATTCCTATGAGAACTGTAACTGGTTGGCGGGTGTGCATGGATTATCGAAAGCTTAACAAAGCTACCTGGAAGGACCATTTTCCATTACCCTTCATTGATCAAATGCTTGACAGATTAGCGGGACATGAGTTCTACTGTTTCTTGGATGGATATTCGGGCTATAACCAAATAGCAATTGCCCCAGAAGATTAAGAGAAAACAACATTCACATGTCCATATGGCACCTTCGCTTTCAGGAGGATGCCATTTGGCCTTTGCAATGCCCCTGGTACCTTGCAAAGATGTATGATAGCTATATTCTCTGACATGGTGGAGCAATACATTGAGGTCTTTATGGATGGTTTTTCAGTATTTGGAGATTCATATGATGTGTGCTCGGGTGCTGCAGCGATGTGAAGAAACCAATTTTGTTTTGAATTGGGAAAAATGTCATTTAATGGTCCAAGCAGGTATTGTCCTTGGCCACCGGATTTCTAGCAAAGGCATTGAGGTCGATAAAGCAAAGATTGAGACCATTGAGAAGCTTCCGCCTCCAACATCAGTAAAAGGTATTCATAGCTTTCTTGGCCATGCAGGTTTTTATCGGCAATTCATTAGAGATTTTTCCAAGATCTCTAAGCCGCTTTGCAATCTATTAGAGAAAAATGTCACTTTTCAGTTCGATGACTCATGTTTAGACGCTTTTACTGAATTAAAAAGGAGACTTGTCACTGCACCAATTATTATTGCTCCGGATTGGACTCTTCCATTTGAACTGATGTGTGATGCGAGTGATTTTGCTATTGGGGCGGTTTTAGGCCAACGACGAGATAAGGTATTCCACTCTATTTACTATGCGAGTAAGACTCTTTCAGATGCTCAGCTTAATTATACCACTACAGAGAAAGAATTACTTGCCGTAGTATTTGCTTTTGATAAGTTCAGGTCCTACCTCATTGGCACTAAGGTGATTGTCTATACAGATCACTCTGCCATTAAATACTTGATTGAGAAGAAAGATGCTAAGCCACGCCTAATCCGATGGGTCCTCTTACTACAAGAATTTGCTTTAGAAATCTGAGACAGAAAAGGTACAGAAAATCAAGTGGCTGACCATTTATCTAGAATAGAGCCTAATGACCATGAGGGTGACCGGACAATAATCAATGAATCATTCCCGGACGAACAACTTTTCTCTTGTCAATATAAGAGCTTGCCATGGTATGTCGATTATGTTAATTATATTGTGAGTAAAGTCTTTCCTCCCGACCTCAGTTCACAGCAACGGAAGAAATTCTTACATGATGTCAAGTTTTATATATGGGATGAACCTTTCTTGTTGAAACAATGTGCCGATCAGATTTTGAGAAGGTGCGTTCCACAAGAGGAAATAGAAGACATTCTGCGACATTGTCATTCTTCTGGCTATGGAGGGCATTTTGGTGGCGAGCGCACGGCAGCAAAAGTACTTCAATCAGGTTTTTACTGGCCTACTATTTTTAAAGATGCACACCATTTAACTTTGAGATGTGATAGATGTCAACGAGTGGGTAACATTTCAAAGAGACATGAGATGCCACTCAATAATATCTTTGAGGTAGAAATTTTTGATGTTTGGGGGGTTGATTTCATGGGACCATTTATTTCTTCCTACAACAATCTTTACATCTTGGTCACAGTGGATTATGTTTCTAAATGGGTGGAAGCGGTACCTCTGCCCACTAATGATTCCAAAGTTGTATAGAACTTCTTGAAAAAGAATATCTTCACTCGATTCGGCACTCCTAGGGCGATTATTAGTGACGAAGGTACTCACTTCTGCAATAAATACTTTGCAGCCCTACTAGCCAAGTATGGGGTTACACACAAGGTCGCCACCACCACCCACAGACAAGCGGTCAGGTGGAAGTTTCCAACAAAGAGATCAAGCGGATCCTTAAGAAGACGGTGTGTCCTTCATGGAAAGATTGGTCCAAGCAATTAGATGATGCATTATGGGCTTATCGCACGACATATAAGACCCCAATTGGTATGTCCCCGTACCAATTGGTGTTTGGTAAAACATGTCATATTCCAGTTGAATTGGAGCACAACACATATTGGGCTATACACTGGTTGAATTTCGGCCTCCATGCTGCTGGGGAGAGGCGTTTGTTACAACTAAATGAGATGGAGGAATTCTGTCTTCAAGCCTATGAGAACGCCAGGATTTACAAGGAGAAAACTAAGCGATGGCATGACAGGCGGATATTGGAGCGCACTTTTGAACCAGGGCAATCTGTGTTACTATTTAACTCACGGCTGAAATTATTTCCAGGCAAGCTTAAATCTAGATGGTCAGGACCTTTCACTGTCATCGAAGTATTTCCACATGGCGCAATTGAAGTGGAAGAACCAACCTTAAAATGTAGATTTAAGGTAAACGGGCAGTGGCTCAAGCACTATTTGGGAGGATATATTGATCGTCAGAAGTCCTCCATCATGTTAGCCGATCCTGAATGAGTCCCCAACAGTCAAGCCAGTGACGATAAATTAGGCGCTTCTTGGGAGGCAACCCAAGCATTTATGTTTCCTGCATTGTTCATTTCACTTTCTTTCTTTCTTCTTCTGTTCTTTTCATTCGAGGTTAGTTTTAGGATTTCAGATGTTCACTTCATTTCTTTTAGTTTGGTTTTGTTTTAGGAATAAGCAATGCAGCAAAAAAAGGAATCAATGCCACAACCAACAGGCCATCAACTCAGGTGTCAATGAGGGAAGTTTTACTAAAAAGAAGAGTTTTTGAGATTTTGTTGGAAATAAAATAAGGAGGAAATTTGTGTGAAGAAAATTCAATAGTAAAAACGGTA